GGGGTGTGTGTGTGTGTGGTGTTGGTGTGTAGGTGTGTTGGTGTGTGGGTGCGTGGGTGCGTGGGTGCGTGGGTGCGCGCGTGGGTGCGTGCGTGCGTGCGTGCGTACGCGCGGGCGGGCGGGTGGGCGTGCGTGGGTGGGTGCGTGGGTGGGTGGGTAGCTTGGTGGCTGGCTGGGTGGGTGGGTGGGTGGGTGTGTGTGTGTGTGCCTGGAGATGAACAAGAAAAAGCACCACGCTGTGCTGTCTCAGCGGCCTGTTCAAGTGGCTTTGCGTGGTGCTCCCTCTGAAACACCCGGTTCTAGCGCCCCCGCAACTCTCAACAGGAAGTGCGACTTCCAAGATGACGACCGCCGGAACATACCAGCCGGGCTGCCCGCGGGGCTGGCAAAGTGCGCCCCCGAAAAGGAAACCACCTTCTCCCTGCCCCTTGATGCAGGCCGAGCGGCTTAAGGCTTAAGCCGTGAATAGTTTTTCAGCTGCGCAACATCCGAGGGTGGATCGTACAAGCAAGTGAAGGCTACCTCAAGCAGCGGCTGAAGGCTTGGAACGTTTTGGAACCTTGCGTTGTCCTTTTGCCGCTCGAGTCGCACCTGATGCGGCCCCTACGTTTCTGCCCGCGCAACTGCGTGCGGATTTAAGCTGCAGCAACTAGTCGGTTGCGTGGAATGGTGTTGCTTGAAACTGTCCATGCACAACAAGCAGGTCTGGAGGGTGCCCCCCGAAAGTTTCCCCCTGAGTGACCACACAACTCGACCAAACGGGAAAGTGGAGAAGGTCAATGGCCAAGTTTCGAGGGGGACAGTAGTAGGAGGAAGTCCATTGCGCCTAAAATGGCAGACACCTCTGGAACTCTGGGACATGCTCCTGCTCTTGGAGTGAGATCATGCCCTTTGTTGTGGTAGCTTGCCTTTCACCCGCTGACCCTGTGTTGAAAGTAGGATGTGATGTTGATTTGCAGGAAAGCACTGGCGATCGCAATCTGGACCTTGCGAAGCTCGGAGAAGGCGTAGGTGATTTGCTCCGTCAGGCCGGCGCAGTCTTCCACATGAGTCAATCCTCGGAGAAGGAGTGGAGGGAAACAAGAAAGGATTGAGGACAAAGCCCGCAAAAAAAGCTTTAGGTAATTTTTTGGACCTTTTCTTTCTGCAGCCCAGCAACCCTCCAAACCAGGGTCATGTTGCAGAAGCTTGCCATGCATCCCGAATTTTCGTGCGGAAACTATTTTTTGGTGAATTTTTTAGAACGGTTTTTTGCATTTTCCAGGTTCAGTTTCCGAGGAGGGCAGGAAGGAAGGAAGGAAGGTGGAAGGAGGAAGGAGGAAGGGGAGGGAGGGAGGGAGGGAGGGAGGAAGGGAGGAAGGGAGGAAGCAAGCGAGGAAGCAAGGAAGCAAGGAAACAAGGAAGCAAGCAAGCAAGCAAGCAAGCAAGCAAGGAAGGAAGGAAGGAAGGAGCAATTTTTTGCAGGGGGGGCGCTGCGCCCTCCCCCGCACCCCCCTCCCGCCTTTCCCATTTAAGCAGGTCATTCAAACAAAAACCTAGCAAACCAGTTTGCAAGCGACCGGCCTGCAAAGCATTTGGACCCTCAAACACTTTACAGAAAAAAAGGACCTGGCCACAAACAACTCTTGGTGATTGGTTTTTCAGCGCGTGGATGCTCAATATACGTTGCTTTCCTTGCGGGGGAGGCGCTGCGCCCGCCCCCGCACCCCCTCCCGCTCTTTTTATTGTTGGTATTGCTACAGCGCATCACCATCACGACAGCCAAGAAACAACCAAGCGCATACATACATACATACATACATACATACATACAGACAGACAGACAGACAGACAGACAGACAAGACATACAGACATTCAGGCATACAGGCGTACAGACATACATGGGAGACTAATCTCCGATTTTTTCCGCTTCAAAGGTATTCATGACTGGCTAACAATTGCTGCTGAAGGTGCAAGATGGCACAGGTTGATGCAAGATTTTGTTCGTTTTTGCATGTTTGGACGGTGATGGTGTTATATAGTTAGTTCTTGTTCCACCTGCCGGCGCCCTGACAGGGCTGTGTTCGGACGTGCAGGCGCAACGTCAAAGTCAAAGTCAAAGTCAAAGTCAAAGTCAAAGTCATACATACATACATACATACATACATACAAACATAGACAAACTTACGTACATACACGTACATAGATATACAGTACATATGCATGCGTGGACATACCCTTACAGTATTTCAAGAGTACATGGCGGTGAGAGAGGGGCTATAGATGGCGTTTTAGCCAAGTGGGTTCCCAATGCGCGCGGGTAAAAGTAGATGAAGCCGGTAACTAAAAAGGCAAGGCTCTCAGAGCCATCTACTAGAAATTTTCCCGGTTCCAAAGAACGGCTGCGCCAGGTAATTTTTCTCGTCTTGCTCCCTTCTTCCCAAATCTGTTTCCTTTAAGGGACCGAAAGGGAACACAGATCAGACTCAGAGAAGAAGAAAGAGAACCAAACGAGGAACTTAATGGGCAGTAGATGGCGCAGATTGACAGCAGGAAGGAGGGCAGAGGAGAAGAGGAGGAGGAAAAGGAGCCAGGAGTGCATATGGCGCTGGAACATCATCATCATCAAAATCAAGCTCCATATCATCTGCCAACAGGTATGAGATGTTTTGAGCTGCCTGTTCTTCTTCTTCATCACGTTCTTTGGCAAGCTCCTCATCCTTCTGGATCTTGAAGATACCCTTCAGGATGTCTTGTAGTACCTTTAAGTTCAGCTTCGATGATGGCTCATACGTCCTACAACACGAGAGCAAGAAATCGCCTCCAAAAACTTGGAATTGTATTGGCGTTCAAACTCTTCCTTCTTGATCATCTCATACAAGGGATCAGAAACTGCAACACGCGCCTGAACATACTCACGAAGTTGATAGCATGCATGTTGCACAAATCTACTGTTGGAGTTGTGAAGAAAACTCTCTAAATGATTCCTGTCACGGTCAATCAAATACCACACAATTCTTGCAGAAAAACGGAATTTCTTGAAGTTCATAGCAAAATGTGTATGATACTTCTCTGGATTCCTTTCTGCTTGTAAGGCGGCCTCTGAAGTCTTGTAGGCTGGGAGATTTGTGTCTGGATCCAAGATCATAAACTCTTCCCACAAGATCGAGTGGTCAAGAACCCACTTGGGAAGCACCTTGATGAAAAAGTCACAAACAAGTTCCGACACAAGGTGCATGACACGACCAATCTCTTCCTCCTGCTTGAAGCGATAGTGCAATTTGGCAAATAAAGGATTGTTGAATGCTTCCTCCACTGTGTTGCCAAAATTATCCCACTGAGGTTCTGGAATACCAAAGTTCCAACCCAGCAATTTGGGATCTCAGCACATATCCAGGAAACTTGAAGGTTCTATGGATTGAATACCATGGTCTGTCAGAATTTCAGCCCAGCGGCGTCCATTCTCCCAAGCACGGATGAAGAAAAACTGTTGGTATCCAGTTTGTGCCAACTCCATCCACTGAGAAATTCCGGGTTCAAAACTCGGTGCATACGTCTTGGGGTCTTCCTCTGTTCCATAAACACTTGGACGTAGCAACTTGTACCTTCTACAAAAATATTCTCTCTGGTGCCTTGTCAACCTGTCCCAATCCCTCACTAGAATCACGTCTTCTCCAGTGCTCTGGAGTACACGTGTTCCTACACGATCATGGAGTGATACCATGCCAATGTCATATACCATCCATGGGTTGAGAACTAGGTTGCTGACATTCTGAATAAACCATGTCATCTCACGCTCAGCAACATGAGCAGAGTCATCTTCTTCATCTTGTTGAGGTTCTCCAGAAGTCCTGGCTGTTGAGCCCTTCGAAGTGATGTCCTTCCAAATGTGGTCAAAACGAATCACTTCCTCATCAGCCTTCACCAGTTTTGCCTGATCCTTGCTCAAAACTAATGGGTGAACCATAAACAAGGACCTTGAGGTAACACCATCTCCATCGACAATCAACTTTGGAGCACTATAGCCTAAGATACTCCAAGGATCACGATCATCAATCTCCTTAGGGGTAATCAAAGACCATCCTTGTAGATAATGGCCTTCTGACATCACCTGACGTGACCTCAATCGTGAACGATTGTACTCACGTTCAGGATGATTCTCATATTGGACAAAACGGGCGATAGCACCTAAATCCAGATCATCCAACCAAAGAAGCATATGCCTCTTAACTTGTTTTGTCTCAGGCTCATCGGCATGAATCCTCCTGAGAAGTTCTCTGGCATATGGCTTGTCAATAGATAGTCTGGTGAACAAGGCTCGCACTCTCTCTTGTTGCACCTTCTCACTGTTGATGAGCTCCATCATCTCCTCTGCAGACTTAGGATTTCTCAACTCCTTAGCGGGATCTGGAGCATCTTGTGGTTGTGGTTCATCCACACTAATGTCCAAGTATGTGGGCTCTACATCACAATGTGTGAGCACCACTCCATTGTTGCTGAAGTACAGAGGACGTCCAGCCCGAAGCCAAAGAATCACATTAAGCTTCACATACAAAGGCTGTCCATAATCCCTTGGAACCACTGTACCTGGGCCTAAAGGAATGTAAAGCGAAGTTTGTGGATTGCTGTACATAAAATGAACATAATCTCTTCCTTCACCTCTGTTCCTTCTATTCCAACTTTGAGGGTCTCTCATCAAACCATACCTCTCAATGCTGGCCCAGTTCTCCCTTCTGGTAACATGAAAAACATGTCCCAAACATCTTGCCTCAATAGAAGTCAATCTATGATCCAACTTCTCTGGGCTGATGTTATGCATGAGTCCTGTATGCCCCTGGTTCACTCCCAAACGCATGGAGAAGGGCATATCATATTGATTGCCTGTGTTGCGCCAAACATTCTTGTCTAGGCGAATCACCAAATGAAATCTTTGCTTCTCATCGCTATGCAATATAGCAAAGAAGGCATTAGGGTAAATACGGAAAGGTGATGGCATACGAGCAGTTCCCTCTGTAATCAGAGGCATAAGCTCTATCATTGCCCTACTGTCCATCAACCTGTCGAGAGAACGATCATGTCGTAGCATATAGTTGAGCCCCGTGGCTATCTTTCCATAATCGTTTTGCCTCCACGCGACTCTTGTTGCCACAAACTGTCTGCTTCTCTCATATTCATCCTCTTCCTCTTGGGTGACATAGCCAAAAGCGTATCTGGCAATCTCTGCGAACCACCGTACTCGAAAATTGAACTTAGCATGGTTCTCAGGTGCCAAACACATTGCAAGAATGTCAGTTAAGATCAATTCATCCTGCTCTGAGTTCCTATGGAACTCAACTGGCGCACGTGGGCGTCTCAAACGGTTTGCCCAGTTCTGAGGTTGTCCCCAAGGAACCTTTTGTGACCAGTTTCGAGCATACTCAAAGATGTTGACCAGATTGGACGCTCCCTGACCGGCCATCTCTGTTGATACAAAGTCCACCGGTCAGAGGCCAGTGTCCTAAGTCTTAGAAATGACAGGTAGTCAACGATGCAAGGCAATAGTCTTCGAAAGAAAAGTGCTGATCTTGCCAAGCTAATTTGAGCCGCAGGCACAAATTCATGAAAGAAATTCAAATTTCTCTCAAACAAAAACACATGCATTGAATTCTCTCCTCTCACTCTCAGTGCAAAGAATCTCCAAGATAAAACACATCATGTGAAAAGTCAACATGTGTGCATACTGTAGGAAGCCATCCACGCATATATGCCTTGTGTTCAATAAGAGATCTAAAAGGTGGATGTGCATCGACTTCCTTCAAACAGCCACTGCGTACTGCATCTATCAAAGCTTGAGGACTAGCAGACTTCTTAGTAAGACAGTCAGCAAGACACCACTGAGTGCGTATATGTAACGAGTCAGCAATTGCACCAGAGCATGCTTCCTTCCTAAGCATTTGGATCATATGAATAGTCTCCTGTTGCTCAGGAACATGAGTAGTACTAGCTGTAGTCACAAGATTGTTAGCATCAGTGCGCATGTGAATGTCAGTAGAGTAGCCTGTAATGTCCT